AAAAATTCACTACAGAAATTTCATAATACAGTTGGAAGCATTAAGAACAGAATAGACCAAGATGAGGAAAGAATCTCAGAGCTCAAAGATTGGTCCTTCAAATCAATTCAGACAGACAAAAATAAACAAAAAAGAATTTCAGGCTGGGCATGGTGGCTCATGCCTATGACCCCAGCACTTTGGGAGGCTGAGGCGGGAGGATCACTTGGGGCCAGGAGTTCAAGACCTGCCTGGCCAACACGGTGAAACCCCATCTCTACTAAAAATACAAAAACTAGCAAGGCATGGTGGCATGCGCCTGTAGCTCCAGTTACTCAGGAGGCTGAGGCACGAAAATTGCTTGAACCTGAGAGGTGGAGGATGTAGTGATCTGAGATGACGCCACTGCACTCCAAACTGGGCGACAGGAAAGACTCTGTCTCAAAAAAAAAAATAAATAAATAAAAATTGAAAATGAACAAAACCTCCAAGAAATAAGAGATTGTGTAAAGAGACCAAACCTATGACTCACTGTCGTTTCTGAAAGAGAAGAAGAGTAAACAACTTGGAAAACATATTTGAAAATATAGTGCACAAAACTTTTCCCAGTCTCACTAGAGAAGTCAATAGGCAAATTTAAGAAATTCAGCAAAGTCCTACGAGATACCATACAAAATAATCATCCTCAGGACATATAGTTAACAGATTCACCAAGGTCAATGCCAAAGAAAAAATCTTAAAGGCAGCTAGAGAGAAAGGTCAGTTTACTTACAAAAGGAATCCCATCAGGCTAGGAGTAGACCTATCAGCAGAAACTTACAAGTGAGAAGAAATTGTGGACCTATTTTCGGCATCATTAAATAAAAGAAACTCCAAACAATAATTTGATATTCTGCCAAACTAAGCTTCATAAGCAGAGGAGAAATAAAATCCTTTTCAGACAAGCAAAGTTAAGGAAATTCATGAGTACTAGACCAGTCTTACAAGAAGCCCTTAAGGAAGTGCTAAATGTGGAAATGAAAGAGCAGTACCTGGCACCACAAAAACACAAGTACATGGCCCACAGATACTATAAAGCAAATACACAATCACGTCTACAAAGCATCCAGCTAACAACATGATGGCAGCATCAAAATCTCACATATTGATATAAACCTTGAAGGCAAATGGTCTAAATATCCCACTTAAAAGGCTTAGGATGGCAAATTGGATTTAAAAAACAAGGCCCAACCATCTTCTGTCTTCAGGAGACCCATCTCACATGTAAGAACACCCATAGGTTCAAAGTAAAGGGATGGAGAAAGATCTATAATGCAAATGGAAAACAAAAAGAAAGCAGGGGTCACTATTCTTATGTCAGATAAAACAGACTTTGAACCAACAATGATCTAAAAGGACAAAGAAGGGCATTACACAATGACAAAGGGAACAATTCAAAAAGAAGACTTAACTACCTTAAATATACACACAGCTAACATTGGAGCACCCAGATTCTTAAAACAAGTTCCTCTGGACCTAGGAAAAGACTTAGTCCACACAATAATATTGGGAGCCTTCAACACCCAATTGACAGGATTAGAGAGATCATCAAAGCAAAAAATTAATAAAGAAATTCTGGACTTAAATTCAACACTTGACCAATTGGACTCAATAGACATCTATAGACTAGTCCACTCCAAAACCATAGGATATGCAGTCTTCTTATCTGTACATGGAATATACTCTAAGAACAACTATACGCTCAGCCATAAAGCAAATCTGAAAAAATTTAAAAACACTGAAATCATCTCAAGCATACTCTCAGACCATAGTATAATAAAAATAGAAATTACTACCAAGAAGATCTCCCAAAACTATACAATTACTTGGAAATTAAACAACTTGCTCCTAAGTGACTTTTGGGTAAACAAATGAATTCAGAAATCAAAAAAATTCTTTGAAATTAATGAAAACAGAGACAAAACAAATAAAAAATTTTGGGATGCAGCTAAAGCAGTGCTCGGAGTAAAGTCTATAGTGCTAAATGTCTACATCAAAGAAGTTAGGAAGATCTTAAATGAACAATCTGATGTCACACCTAGAGAAACTAGAAAAAAGAATGAATCAATCCCAAACTAGCAGAAGAAAACAAATAATCAAAATCAGAGGAGAACTGAATGAAATTAAGATGCAAAAATGCATACAAAAGATCAACAAAACAATTTTTATTTTATTTTTTTTTTTTTTGAGACGGAGTCTCGCTCTGTCTCCCAGGCTGGAGTGCAGTGGCACAATCTCGGCTCACTGCAACCTCTACCTCTTGGGTTCAAGCAATTCTCCTGTCTCAGCTTCCCAAGTAGCTGGGACTGCAGGTGCACACCACCACACCTGGCTAATTTTTGTATTTTTAGTAGACACAGGGTTTTGCCATATTGGTCAGACTGGTCTCGAACTCCTGACCTCAGGTGATCCATCTGCCTCAGTCTCCCAAAGTGCTGGGATCACAGGCATGAGCCACCATGCCTGGTCTGTTTTTTGAAAGAATAAACAAAATTGATAGACTGCTAGCTAAACAACAAAAAAAGAGAAAATCTAAGCACAATCAGAAATGACAAAGATGACATTACAACTAATCCCATAGAAATATAAAAGATTCTCAGAGATCATTATAAATATCTCTGCACACAAAAATTAGAAAGTCTAGAGGAAATGAGTAAATTCCTGAAAACACACATCCTCCCAAGATTGAACCAGGAAGAAATTGAAAACCTGAACAGACCAATAATGAATTCCAAAAGTGAATCAGTAATAAAAATCCTACCAACCAAAAAAAGTCCTGGACCAGATGGATTCATAGCTAAATTCTACCACATGTACAAAGAAGAACTGGTACCAATCCTACTGAAATGATTCCAAAAAATTCAAGGAGGAAGGATTCCTCCCTAACTCATTCTATGAAGCCATTATCATCTTGATACCAAAATCTGGCGGAGACACAATGAAAAAAAAGTTCAAGCCAATATCCCTGATGAAGATAGATGCAAAAAAAAATCTTCAACAAAATACTAGCAAAACAAATGTAACAGCACATCAAAAAGATAATGCACTATGATCAAGTGGGATTTATCCCCAGAATGCAAGTATAATTTGACATATGCAAATCAATAAATGTGATACATCACATCAACAGAATGAATGACAAAAACCATATGAGAATCTTAATAGATGTAGAAGAAACATTTCATAAAATTCAACATGCTTTCATGATTAAAAAAAAAAAACTCTCAACAGATGAGGCATAGAAGGAACATATCTAAACACAATAAAGACCATATATGACAAACACACAGTTAACATCATACTGAATGGGGAAAAGCTCAAAGCCTTTCTTCTAAGAACTGGAAAACAAGTCAAGAATGCCCAGTTTTACCATTCTTATTCAGCATAATGTTGGATATCCTAGCCATTGCAATTAGTCAAGAGAAAGAAAGAAGGGGCATCCAAATTGGAAAAAGGAAATTAAATTGTCCCTCTTTGCATGTGACATGACTATATATTCACATATTCATATATATATATATACACACACACATATATACACATACATATCCCCCAAAACTAATGACTCTACCAAAACACTTAGAACTAATAAACTAATTCAGTAAAGTTGCAGGATACAAAGTCGACATACAAAAATCAGTGATATTTCTAGATGCCAATAACGAACTAGCTGAAAGAAAATAAAGAAGGTGATCTTATTTACAATAGCTATAAAAAAAAAACCCTAGGATAAATTTAACCAAAAAAAGTAAAAGACCTCTATGAGGAAAACTATGAAACACTGGTGAAAATCCTATGCTAATGGATTGGAAAAGGGAACACCATGCAGCCATAAAAAAGAGTGACATCCTGTCATTTGCAGCAACATGGATAAGTCTGGAGAACATTGTATTAAGCAAAACAAGGCAGGCACAGAAAGATAAATACTGTATGTTCTCATTTATATATGAGAGCTAAAAAATCGAGCTCATGGAAGTCGAGAGTAGAACTGTGGGTATTAAAGATGATAAGGTAAGGTTGGCTAACAAATACAAAATTACAGCTAGATAGGAGGAATGAGCTCTGGTGTTCTGCATCACTGTAGGGCAAATATGGTTGACTGTAATTTATTGTATATATTCAAAAAGTTAGGAGAGAAGATTTTTGATGTTCACAACACAAAGAAATGATAAATGTTTGAGGTGATGGATACATTAACTACCTTGATCTGATCACTACACATTGTATACAGATACCTAAATATCACTCTCTCTACCCCACAAATATGTACAATTATTACATGTCAACTAAAAATAAAAGGAAAAACAACACAGATGGAATCTATTTTAACAAATAAAACTTGAGAATAAAAATAATAATAAAGGAAATATTGTAATCATCACATGTCTTGTTCCTGTGTCTATCTCTTAGCTGTTTCCAAATTAAAAAAGAAAAGTAAAGGATTGTGAATTATTGACTCAAACTCAATTATATTATTATGTTCATTTTGCAAATGAGAAAACTAGGTTTGAGAGAGGTTGAGCAATTTACCCAAAGTCACCAAAATCTAAACTATGTGGCAAAACAGGCAGTCGAACAGGGACCCCTCATTCACTCGGAAGTCTACATTTTTTCTCACATTCTTATGTGCTTGTCACTTATATTCATTAAAAACAGGCACACTCCATCAACATTCTCTAGTAAGTCTAAACACCCTGTGTAAGATACAGGGAAGGAAAAGGAAATGGAACTCACATTTTCTGTGTATCTATTATGTTCCAGACACTGTCCTAAGCCATTATTTACATTACATACTTTAATTTTCACAAACACCCCCAGGAACCTGCAGCAAGTTCAGTGAGAATCAGGTATCGCAAGCTCATGTGCTTTTGATTTACTAAGTTGCTTTTGAAGACCAAATATTAGTCTTCCAAATGATCAGGCTGTTAAACGTAGTGTGTTTACCAACAGCATCAGGGTATCTGCTTGATTCACACACTTACTGAACAGTTCTTTACGATGGCACAGAACACGACATCCACACATAGGAACACCCCTGTCCGGCCTATGCCAGCACTGCAGTGAACAACCATGGGTCCCGTAAGGTGGCTCTTCCTTGCATAACGAACATATTTTATGAAGCTATCTGCTGAGGCAGGAGTGCCATGGTCTGGCCACTTGGTGAACTGCAACTGTTTTACAGAGTGACTAGTTCCTGTCTGTTAGAGAAAGAAACAGAGCGAGAAAGATATTTATTGATTTCTTATATTAGAGAGACCTCACACCAACTTCTAATATTTAAATGATAATAATAATGGCTACATGGTATTACCTTGGTATTATATAGAACTTTCAAAAAATACTCAAACCTCTTTTTGATGTTTATAAGAATTCTGGAAGTTGCTAGGAATAGAGGTTTTCTCCATTTTACAAAGGAGAGCACAGGAACAACAATAAAAATACCAGTACTAACAGGTAACAAAAGTTAAGCACTTGCTATGTGGCAGGTACTATGCTAGGGGCTTCACATGAATTCTCTCCTTCAATCTTCACATCAATCATGTGAGGTAGGCACCATTTTATCTCCATTTTACAGATGAAAATGTAAGGATGAGGGGGACGAGAGATGTATGCTAGGTTAGAAGGTTCACACATTTAGAGCTGGAACTGTAATGTAGGTGTCTTGAATTCTAATCTAGCATCATTCTTCTGTACCGTGAGGCTGCAGGAAAACCAAGATTTCAAAATGCTTAGAGTGAGAGATGGACTGTCATGTTAGGAATAAGACCAAAAGGCAATGTATTTTAGTTTAAAAATGACATATGAAATTGAATTAAGACATACAGGTGTCTGACAAGAGAGGCGCCAATCTCTTCCAGCGATGAAGACAGGGTAGTCAATGACCATGAGAGTAGACTGTGGGTCCCACTATTGTGCTGAGCCCCCTTGAAGTGGAGTCATGAAACTCTTCCCAGTATTGTCAGATAAAGCACTTTGAATTTACCTATATCTCATTCAAAGAGATCATGACCCTTTCCCCAGTGTGGGGCCCTTATTTTACCACACATGGGACCCTAATGGAAGAACTCAAAATGAGTTTCTCACTTCTCCTCTGCTTCTTCTGAATGCACCTCTTTTTCCTAAGCTTCCTGAATAAAGATGCTAGTGTTCAGAGCTCTATTCTAATCCACAGTGTCTACTGAAATTTGTGATAGTTAATTTTATGTGTCAACTTGGCTGAGCCCTGGTACCCAAATACTAGGCCAAATATTATTTTGTGTCTCTGTGAAAGTATTTTTTAGGTGAGATTAACATTTAAATTGGTAGAATTTGAGCAAAGCAGGTTATTCTCCATAAAATGGGTTGGCTTCATCTAATCAGCTGAAGGCCTTAACAGAACAAAAACTGATCAAGAAGGAATTCTACTAGCAGATTGCTTTTGGACTCAAACTGCAATTCTTCCCTGGGTCTTCAGCCTACTTTCCCACCCCGCAGATTTGCCAACCCTCCACAATCACTTGAACCAATTCCTTAAAATTAATCTCTCTCTCTGGGTCAGTCCCATAACCCGTACTCAGGAATCTCAATGTTATACTGCTGGAAAAAAACACAAAACAAAACACATAATCACATATTTTGTTGCTATTACAAATTTATGGGTCAAACCTCAGCATCACTCAGCAGCCCTTTTCCTGGTGATTGTGCTCCAATCAACTTCTTTGGTGATGACTCCAAAACTCACCACTCTCTACAAGTTTCCTGTTCAACTCCTATTCCCTTCACTCCTGTTAACACATGTATCACCTACCTGCCAACTGAATCCACTAGAGCAATCTAACTCATTGCTTTCTGCTATAAACCATTCCTTTTCTGTTTTCTAAGTCTATTAGACCAAGAAATACATGAATTATTCTAGACCAGTGCTTCTCAACAGAACTTTCTATACTGAAGCAAATGTCTTAAATATGGCAATATATAGTAGCCACTATCAACATGTGACTAATAAGCCCTAGAAACGTGGCTACTGCAGGTGAGGAACTCAATTTGTTATTTTACATAAATTTAAATAACTTAAATTTAAACAAATATCCACATGTGGTTACTGTATTGAATATATTTTCAACCCCTCCTCTGTCACTTATAAATCATAAGTCATAAGTCAATTATAAGTCTCCCAATTTTATCTGCAAAACACTTGCGTCTGTTCTTTCCACCCCATGCCAATAGCCGTAGTTGATCATGTCACTTACTAAAATTCTTCAATGTCTCCCAATTATCTTCATAATAAAGTTCATGCTACTTAGCTGAAATTTAAGACATTTCACATTCTAGCTGACCCCTGCTTACTTTTGATAACCTCATCTCATCTTTTATTACTCCCTGGCACTGAACTTTTACATTTCAGAAACACTTAACTACTTACATTTGTCTCTATACACACCTTGTATTATTTTATATTTTGATCATCTACTTTCTCCCTCCATCTTTCTCATTTGGATAATTCTCAAAACAAATGCTACTTCCTCCAGTAAACCTTACCCCAAACTCCAAGTAAAGCTAAGTACTTACCTTCTGAGCCCCAAAGTGGCCAAGACATATCTCAACATTATCACTGAACACGGTAAGTTAGGTATCTATCAGTGAGTGTACCAACCTCTCCACTACTCGGTAAGTACTGATAGTGCCTGGCCCAGTGATTAGCATACCTTAAGGACTCAACACTTATCTGCCACACTTGGCAGAAGCAGGTATAACCCAGAATCAGACAACTTCAACAGACACTCTCCCTACCCCACCTCTCTTTTCCAATTTGTTCTTCTCTACAGAATCTGGTTAAGGAGGAGGAGAAGTGGTGGTGGCTTCTGGTACCAGGGACAAGTAAAAAGTTACTTTAAGAAGTATCCTCGGTCTATTTTCCATCCTACTCCTAACTTCTAGTTCTAAGACATTTGCTTATGTGGTGAAACATATATCTAATACTGATGTTTAAAAACTTACAGACTTCTCCACAACTTGAAACATTCGAATGATGAAATATTGAAGTATCTGGTAGTTCTCCAGGAATACACGGAAGTGTTTCAATTCCAATGGCTTCTTCAGAGAAATGGGCCAGTAAGGGTAGCATTTGATAACTCCACCTTCTACCTCTCTGGTTATCATGGCAATAACATTAGAATTATTTTCCAACACCATTTGCCAAAAGTCATCTATGGTGCTCAGCAGTGGTCCTTGAGTAGCGATATAAAAATACTCTTGTCCACAATTGACTATCCTAATATAACTAGCATTGATGTAGTCCTTGCTTTTTCCAAGAGGAACGCGTGTTGAATCATCTATTACAGAAACAGAAACATCTGGTAGATAAAGGTGGGAGATACATCACACCCAGACTTCACGAAAGGATTTCACACACATAAATCCGTATATCTCTCTGATCAATAAAGAAGATGGCCTAGGAGTTTTTTTTTTTCAAAAGGGTTGAGTCCATGAGTTTAAATTCTTTCCTCCCTGAAAACTATTGGCATGACCTAAGAAATATACAATTATGAGAGGTTTATTTTTCAGATCAGTTTTTAATAAACACAGAATGATATCATTACCATCCAGGTACTTTTGGAAATTTCTGCTAGAACTGGCATAGGCAAGATTAAGTCAAGGGACGTATCCTCTAGTTTGCAACTGAACACAACAGAGAAGAAACTCTCTGTGGGAGTAAATGAATGATATTCTCCTGCAAATCTGTGAAACCTGCAAACCCAGAGCAGCAGGGGCCAGGGGAAAAAAAAATCTAATAGTTGACTGCAGACAAATCCTAGGATTAATGGAATTCCACCAGTGTCCTCCAAACTAGACAGCCATATTTTATGTCCATTCTCAGCCTTCAGCTGGTGATGGGACATGTTATTCAAAGCAAAGATATTGTGGCAAAGGGATGCTACCAAGGGGATTTGCTCCAAGTAATATGGGACTCATCTAACATGGACTGTTATAACAAATACGAGAGGGAAAACCAGCTATTTGGCCTACTAAGCTTCACTGCTCCAGGAGTTCCTTCTTCACCTGACACAGACATCTGAAGCTCTGGTTCCACCACCAGTCCCCACATGAAGAGCACAAACACACACAGAAAAGGAGGCCCTTCTCTGCCATGCAGCTCTCTCACCAATAACCTGTCCTCACTACTCAGAATCACACGGACCATTTATCTAGTAAATATACTGAGAAGACCTAAACAGGCATTTACCTAATATCTGGCAGAACTCTTCTCAAATTTTAACATAGTACACAGAAACTTTCCCTTGTAAATATGAACAAGCAGAAAAAACAGCCAGGCGCGGTGGCTCACACCTATAATCCCAGCTACTCACGCGGCTGAGGCAGGAGAATCGCTTTAACCAGGGAGGCGGAGGCTGCAGTGAGCCGAGACCGCTCCACTGTACTCCAGCCTGGGTGACAGAATAAGTGAGACTCCGTTTAAAAAAAAAAATTGCTAGATATATAAAGGTACCCAGTATTTCAAAAAGGGAGCACATTCTAAAAAATCATAACAAATGTTCTCCTTTCTATAAAAGGTGATAACACCTTAAAAATTCCTATTTGTATATTAAATAAAATTCAAGAGAGCATTAATTGTTTAAAACAATACTATATATCTATGTTTACTAACAAATATGTTATATTACTAAATTATAAAGGCAGTAACAATGGCTCTGTAGGGAGATCTTTCATCATATGTATGTACATATATGATGATATATGTCATATAATCATAAGCCTGGCAAGTGTTCATCACAATGTTAGCAGCAGTTATTACAGTATATAAACAGTATGAGTTACTTCATAGTAAAAAAAGCATGTTTTAAATTTTGAAATGAGATTAAATATGTGAAAATTAAATAATCTAAACTAATAAAAGCTTGATTTCATATAAAAGTCACAATCATTCAACTCAAACTCCTAAAGCAGGAATTGAACAGAAAAACAAATTCATGTTTTAAAAACCAGCTTAAAAAATTTTCCCAGAACTCAGAAAAAAAAATTTTTTAAACCTACAATAATGATTAAAGTGCTAAAAGACATAGCGCATAGAAGGGGAATATAAAAAAGGAATTTCAGAAGCAAGCTGTGGAATTCACTACAGAAAGGAAATAATTCAAGTGATCATAGGAAAGCTCCCTAAACAGAAGCGAGAGTACTAATAGAACGCAGTGAAACATGCATACCAGGTTCAAGCAGCATGATACACTACATGTATCACCTTGTCAACTCCAAAACAAACCTTCGAGGGAGGTGCTATTCTATTCATACTTTTAAAATAAAGAATCTGTACAAAGCAACTTGTTCCATATTATGCAGCAATCTTCTAGACTCCACAGACTAGGTAAATCTAGACTCTGGCGCAAAAATAATTTCAAACTCTGTTGTCCATCAAGGAAGACCCAAGTTTGCAGACAGAAAGGCCTAAGTGTCAGACAACATTAATGAAGAGAGCCACTAAGACCCCTAGACCAGCAGAGCATAAGGCCACATGAACAGGAAGGAAAAATTATGCTAATGGATGACTAGGGATAATGGCGACTGGTGCCACTCCCATTTCAACCCCTTGATTCTTGAATCCTGGCTATGGTAGAAACAGCATCATATATTGGATGCTGATCTGGGGCATATATAACCTCCTGGAGAACATTACCCCAGCCCTGCAAGGTACTGTCACCTAGCTTTCACTGTAATTGAGTCTTCGAAAGGCCATTTATCCATTCTATCAAGCCAGCTGCTTTGAGAGGATAAGGAATATGGTAACACAGTGGCAGTGAGGCCATTGCCACAAGGTATTTGCCACAGAGTGAGTTCCTTGATTACAGCAATGCTGTATGGAATACCATGATGGTGGATAAGGCATTCTGTAGGTCCACAGATGGTAAATTGGCAGGAGCACTGTGTGCAGGGAAGGCAAATCCATACCCATAGTTACTGTGTATTCTAGTAAGAAAAAAGCACTGCTCCTTCCATGATGGAAGTGGTCCCAATGTAATCAACCTGCCATCAGCTAGCTGGCTGATCATCCCATGGAATAGTGCCCATCAGGTACTCAGTGTTGGTCTCTGTTGCTGGCAGATTGGACACTCAGTAGTAGCTGTAGCCAGGTCAGCCTTGGTGAGTGGAAGTCCATGTTGCTGAGCTCATACATAACCTCCATCCCTGCCACTAAGGCCACTTTGTTCATGAGACCTATGGGCAATGACACAATGACAGGGGTGGCTGGGGGAATAGTCTAGCTGATATTCATAGAGCAAGTCATTCTATTCACTTGATTATTAAAGTCTTCCTCTGCTGAGATCAACCTTTGGTGAGCATTCACATGGGATACAAATATCTTTGTGTTTGTGCCTATCTAGCAAAGTCTATTCACATGCCTCTTCCCCAGACCTTACTGTCACCAATTTTTCCAATCATGTTCCTTCAAAGTCCCTGACCATCCGGCTAAGTCGTTAAACATAGTCCATGAATCAGTATAGATTTATACCTCTGGCCATTTCTCCAGGCAAAAAAAAAAAAAAAAAAAAAAAAAAAAAAAAAAAAACCACCAAGTGCACTACCCAATATTATCCCCACTGGGAGTACTTCTCTTAACCACTGTCCTTCAGAGATGTCTCAAAAAAGGGGCTGTAGTGCTCTAGCTGTCTTCTGGGTGGTACCTTTATATCATGCAGAACCTTCTGTAGACCACGTCCAAGTCTTCTCTTCTTCTGTCAGCGGATCACAGGGAACTTCTCATGAGGCAATAGGTGCAGGCTGAAGATAGGTAATGTAGCAGGGGTGGGAACAGTGAGCATTTGGGCAGCTTCCTCGTGTAACTTATTTGTGCCTTCAGGATCTGCTCAAGCCCAATCTTGTATCTACCACTTTCATTTGATGGTGGAGTGCTGTTTTGTATGCCCAACTTTATGGCTTGGTGGCCCATGGTTAAACATTCTCTACTTAGTAGTCTATGAAGCAGTCTCTACCAAGGCCCAGTAGCAGGTCAAAAACTGTTTCTCAAAAAGAGAGTCCACAGAGGGTGGCAGGAATTTACTCTAAAATCCTATGTGCCTGCACTGTGACTCATCTAAAGGGGTCTGCCAAAGGTCCAAATAGCACCCTTATCTGCCATGAACACTTCAAGCACCACTGGATCTGCTAGATCATACGGCCCACGTGGCAGAGAGGCTTACATGGCAGACTGAACGTGTTTCAGAGCCTTCTCTTGTTTTGGGTCCCACTCAAAACTAGCAGCTTTTCATATCACTTAGTAAATGGACCAGAGTAGCAAATCCAATAAGGAATGTTTCCTCCAAAACACCGAGGTTCATTAGCCATTGTGCCTCTTTTTTGGTTGTAAGAAGAGCCAGATACAATTTATCCTTCACCTTATGATTATCTCAACATGTCCCACACCACTGGAGCCCTAGAAATTTCACTGAAGTAGAAGGCCACTGAATTTTTGTTGTATATATCTCCTACCCTCTGACAGACAGTAAGACTAAAGCATTTGCTACTTCTTGTTCACTAGGTCCAATCAGCACAATGTCATCAATGTAATAAACCTCTGTAATATCCTGGGGAACGGAAAGGTGATTGAGATCCCTGAGAACTAAATTACAACATAGGGCTGAAGAGTTAATTCACCCCTGAGGCAGGACAGTGAGGGTGTATTGCTGGCCCTGCCAGGCTGAAAGTAAACTACTTTTGGTGTTCTTGATTACTAGGTATAGAGAAAACAAAGCATTTCCCAGATCAATAGCTACTAGCTACATAGCAGGTAGGATGTGTTGATTTTCTAAGGCAATGAAACTATATCTGGTATAGCAGCTGCAACTGGAGTCACCATCTGAGGAAGCTTACAATAATCCACTGTCATTCTCCAAATTCCATCTTTTTTCTGTATAGGTCAAACAGGTGAGTTGAATGGGATGTGATAGATATCAACATCACTTCATCCTTAAAGTCCTTGATGGAGGCATTAATATCAGTAATCTCTTCAGGAATGTAGTATTGCTTTTGCTTTTTTACTATTTTCCTAAGCAGAATCAGTTCTAGTGGCTTCCATTTGCCCTTTCCTGCCATAATATTCCTCACTCCACAGGTCAGAGAAGCAATGTGAGGATTCTACCAGTTACTGAGTATGTTTATGCCAATTATTCATTCCAGGGCTTGGAAAATAATCACAAGATGGGTTTAGGGACCTACTGAGTCCACTGTGAAATGAACTTGAACTAAAGTTCCGTTGAATACCTGACCTCCATAAGCCCCTGCTTTGATTTGTAGACCACAGTGATGTTTCGGGTCTCCTGGA